CAAGCACAGAGCCTGCAAGCACAGAGCCTGCAAGCACAGAGCCTGCAAGCACAGAGCCTGCAAGCACAGAGCCCGCAAGCACACAGCCCGCAAGCACAGAGCCATCTACCACGCAGCCGTCTACCACTCATCCGGCTCACACGCACCCTGGAAGGACGAAACCCTGCACCGGCACTGAAGAGCCGCCAGTGGAGGAGGAGGAGCCATGCAGGATCACCATCACCACGACAGTTGACTGCTTTGTCAAGTTCTTGTACAGAATTCTTCCAATACTGCAGCCGAGTGATGCCCAATCAATCTCTACCCATCTTAGAGGAGCGCATGCATGATGGTAACGGTCAATATATTACAGTCAATATATTACCCACATTGGACAAACAAATGCGTCATGTGTTCACATGCACCAACTCATGTTTTACCACTCTTACTCTTTTGAATATTTTCATCAATGCCACGCCTCAAGGCGTCCTGTAAAGTTTTTGCCCGCATCCTTCTTCCGTTTCTAGTGAAACGCTCTAATGCCGGTTAGCTGGATTGTGTTCGCAGTCCTGATTCAACCGAGGCGGGTAGCTGGCTAACTTTTGTCATGTTTTCACAAACGGAGCTCGTGTGCAAGGTTGTGTCTCTCGCCACTGCATCCTACAATCTTGTGCACTCCAGTCGTTACAAACTGCCTTTGCTTTAGTCTACAATTTGCATCGTTAGTTGCACAGTGATGAAAGTAGAAAGTACGCAACAGATTTAGTGCATTTCTGCATCAAGCAAAATGCTTATGGTGTACAGGGGTTAGCGAGAAACGGGGTTTGATGGGCGGGTTGACCTCAATGACGACTTTTCGCGAGGATCCACGGACATTCATAGAAGTGAAGCCAACCCTGTTCCGTTGTGCTAGTTCGCAAAGGTGTGCAGACACGAATGCCCGTTTATACCACAAGTGGCATGAGGTCACCTGCTTGCGGATCTGGCCTTAGTTGATGTAGGTAACGGGCAGTGGGATGTACACGGAGTGAACAGGAACAACCGTCGATATCCTAGAGGTAGAGACTCTGTATAATACTCTCGGCGGCTACTCCCCGTGTTGCGGCTTCCACGGAAGGGACGCTCCTACGCCTTTCCCTGTGGCCTAAACAATTTGAAGATTGCAGAAACCTCCTCGCCAACGAGCACCCGAAATTCTGTAAACACGGCTATAGGGTGAATCGATCAGGTACTCTTCCGCGCGCTTTGTGCTCTCTTGAAGCTTCAATGAAGATGCAATGCAAGTGAGAGTTCTCTTTAAACGTGAGCCCCGTTAACCACACGCAGGAACTCGAATATGATGGTGGAAGAGCTCGTGGTTGGGCGAAAGTCTCTGTGACAATAAGCGCCAGTGATTGCAGTATGCCTTCATGCTCATGCGTTTCTTCAGCAGCGCCGACAGCGCCATTGCAGGCGCAATGCTAAGCGCCTAGCCGAGGCTTTCAAGGTCCCTCGGTCATATCACATAAGGCTGTGAGAAGGACTTCCAGCGAGGAATGGCAAAATATAAGTTGGGACTAGTGCATCTATTGACAGTTTTTGCTGTTCCGCGGAAGTGCGGAGGGGTCCATGGGTTCGTTTCGATGGTGCAAGACATAGTGGGGGCGTATCTAGTCTTGCTAAATGCGGATAACTCTCTCCCAAGTGCCAAAGCACCTTCACCAGACCATAATCCCCGCTGGCTGTGCTTGAATATCGAATGGCTCAGATGGCCCCTGAAGCCTGAGTGACTCCCTGCAGGTCGGCGTCTTTTGCAGTGTCCCCAGGCATCTGCTAGGGAGAAGAAAATCTGTTAAATGACAGCTGAAAGTGGCGAAGAGTCTCGAGGAATGGAATGAGCACGGATCGGAGCCCGCACGTACACAAAACACACATGCCAACGGAAACGTGGACCCACATACCACCTAGTGCGGGATTACCAAGGTGCTATTCTTCCCACTGGGTCAGCGCAGCAACACATGCAACGAGCGCAAACAACTAAGTTCCGATATTTAAGGTTTCCAATGAGTGAGAGCATGGTGGATTCACAGAAGGTGTTCAACAGCGTGTTGCTGTGTCCCCCCTTTCATCTCATGTAACAGAATAATTTCAAGAGATGACTCATAACACAGGGGATGGAAAGGCAAAGGCAGAACAATATGGCTTTTTTTTAAGCACCAGATTGTCTCTACTTAGTAATATTCCTCTGCACCTTTTTATAGTTGGACTGGCTGCTCTCGTAGAGTGTCCGTTCAAACTTGTGCCGTTCATCTGATGTGCAATGGGTCTAAACTTTCGTATTTTTTCTTTAGTCTAGTGCTTTTATGCACTATGCAATAGCTAGTGCAGCCAGCGGCACCCACGCAGCTTAGCACACTGAGGTGCCAAGTAAACCAAAACCCCGACTTCCTCCTTTTTCAGTCAGGGATATCAAAAAACGGGATATTGAAGGCTGAAAAAACAAAGCAGGGTAGACAGATGGAGTTAGTTTCACTTGATTTGGAGCAAGGGAAGAACGGGAAAGACTACTTTTGGCATTTGTTTGACTTTATTGAAAACGGACAAGTAAACGACGGCAGTGAACTAAGCTGTGTTCATTGTGAGATATACTCATTGCCAAAGCTGTGCGTTCGCTCTTGATTTTTCGTCATTGCCTTGAAACTCAGCGCAAGATGAACAGGGATTTTGGACGCTGTTGCAATTATTGAGCAGTAAATGGTGTCGTTGTACCCCTTTAATAGTTCAATCGAAGCGCCAAATGTTAAACATGACTGGAGTTGAGTTCAGCTCTGCAAGAAGCTGAACACACCTTCACGCTCCCCGTACTAGACTACAGCTGGTGGAGAATATTGGTGGATGCCTGAAAGCATCCGTCGAAGACTTCTATGATATATGCGATTAAGTCTGGAGATAGATGCAGTTGGCCGGCTTTGCGGAGTTCGTTCACTTTACATATTTTCCACCTCAGAAACAAGGGATCCCTCTGCATCAAGACAGCACGGCTTCTTTGTTGGCAGCCCCCTCTGAAGAAACAAATAGTGGGCATTTTTAGCTGCACTATCATTTAGTACTCGCAATTTGAGTTTATTTCATATTTCGCCCCCGCCATCCTCAGAAAGTATGCGTGCAGTGTGCAAGTTGTTCAAACTGGGAATGCTGAACAGAGAAATTCAATAGGTTGGACCTTCCTTGCACTTCTCCCTATTAAATAATCATGCGAGATGGGGGTGCCGATGCTTTTTAGATGGAGTGAATGGAGTAACTAACATTTATTGATAAACAAATGCTGAAGCCGCTTCACCAACCCGAGGGTCTGCCTTGCAGCTGTGGCACGAGTCGAGTGATAATAGTAGTAAGAATAAGTGGTAATAATAATAATAGTTATAACAATAATAATAATAGTAATCGTAACAACAGTAAATACTACTAGTAGGAAGGGGGTGTAATAGAGGTTGTGATGAACAAGGCGCATTTGCAGCATCCGCAGCATCCTGCAATGTAAAAGCTGTTATCTCTTCCTCTCTTTAAAATGTTGGTCGTAATAAAATGGTGTCTCTGCAAGGCTGCTGCTGCCGTTTGAGGGGCAGAGGGACTATATACAATGCAGAGGAGAGGAGCCCCATGAGCGGTTAAGTAGCAGCGTGCTAACGGCCGGCACCTCAGCAGCAGATGCTGCTGTGGTGTGTCTCTCCCGCAGACACAACAAAATCGGCGACTCCATGTCCTGTTTGAGGCTGCTGCCCTCCAGAGGTAATGATTGAAAAGGAGAGTGTAGGAACGTAGTAGTGCTGTGTGGTCCTAAAGGAGTTGGGTTTTGCTTAGAGCTCGTCGTGGGTTTCTCCTTCTTCTGTTGCTCCGTTTCCGAAGAACAACAATTGCGGTTGAGCCAGCCAGTTGTCCGACGGCTTCGCCCACGACCAAGAAGAAGGCTGTCCCTTCATCACTGACACCTCCAAATGACTCGCGATAGGGCAGCCCCTGCCGCAGTTGCTGTACGTAAACCTGCACACAGGCACCCCAAGCACGCAACGCATTACACAACAAACACCATAGATTCAAAAACAGGAATCAGATGAACAGCAAGGCACAGAACAAACCTAAGCGAAGCAAACTGCGCTGTGACAACCCAAATGCGCAGAAAAAAGAAATACAAGCGCCAGCATTACAAACATACACACTGGGATGATAAAGAGACACAAAACGACAGCCGCGAGAGGCAGACAGACAAATTGATTCTGAACGTGCTGCACATTGTCTTCGTCCGCAGTAAAGGCCCATTAAGTGAATTGTTCTCAGAAATAGTATTTAAAGTTGTTGGCTTCAAAGCAATACAACCCCAACCAACACGCAGCTCGCAGCAAAGGGAAAGAAGGCTGCCCTGCAGCGAGACGAACACGTGTTGTTTAGAAGCTTGTAGATTTGCATTCAGCAGAACATTTTTCAACTTCACGGGGGCACCCGACCGCCACACGTCTCCGCCTTTGGCGCATTCAACCACAAACGCCGATTCGGCACCCTCGGGACCTGGGGAGGCCCCCACCTGCAGCGGAAGAAGAAAGGCAGAGAACGAGCTGGCAGACAAAGAATAAAAACGCGAAGAAAGATATAATACAAAGAAGGACAAAGACAAGGAACGAGGTAACAGACAGAAGCAGAATACAGAAAGGTACTACGGACAAGGAAGGACATTATAGCGAAGAAGAAAGGAGACGACCGAAAACGCAGAGGAAGACTATAGAGAAGAAAGAGGCCGCCTACACCAAAACCTAAATCTAAAGAAAAATCAAGAGGGAAACAGTAGAAGACGAAGAAGAGGAAAGAAACGGCACACCAGAGGGAGGAAATCCGAACACCACCGAAGAACACCCGACAGCCAACAACAAATGGCGGAAAACAGCAAACAACCGGAAGAAGCATCAACAAACAATACACAAACACCAAAGTACAAACAATAAAAGAAAAGAGTTCGTCATACCTCGTAGTTGGGAGAGAGGGGCGCTTCTGCCCTTCCTGCCTTCAGTGCTGCCTGACTGCTGACGTGTTGCAGCAGCACACGAGCACCGCAAGGAACAGACACACCGGCACCAAAAGAAGAAGAAGGTGATGAGGTGAGAGGAAGACTGGGGTCGAAGGGGGAGAGGAGACCGCTTACTACAGGCCGCACTTGCCACAGAGAGGAAGACGGCGACTCAGAAGGCGGCTGTGCTGTCTATTGCAACAAAACACAGAGAAGAATAAAGGCAAACTTGCAGTTACTTATTGCTCTAGCAGTCAACAAACAATAAAAAGGAAGGAACCCGTCCACACAAAGCACCTGCACACTGCAATGTGTATGCGCAGCAGCAGCAACTGCTGCTGCAGGAGGCACAGCAGCAGTAGGACCTCGAGCAACAGCAGATGAATGCGCTTTGATATACCCACCGTTTAGAAGCGAGCAACGGAAAGATAAAGCAAGGGGTAGATAGAGAAAGACAGGGATAACAAATAAAGAGATACACAAGCAGAACTAGATACAGACAACTCCAATACAAATACAACGAGAAGATACACAGACGCACGGACTGTCTCCCTCTGCAGCACATTTAAGCCCCACTGTTATAGTGCTTGCAGGAATAACACTCTACAAAGCACTCAAGACGGACAAGGGGATGAAGACTAAAGAAGCGAAATTTGGATACAGACAATATTACACACAGAGTGCAGAGAAAAGCCGAAAAAAACGGTTGACAACGGTTGAAGGAATAACGAAAGAAGAAGCAGAAAAAAAGAGGAGACAATAGGAGAGCCAAAAACGAAACAGACAAAAATAAACGGAGATACAAACAGACAACGGAATTTAGGTCCGAGATAAAACATGAAGAGAAAGACAAAGACAAAAGTACAGAGACAGAGGCAGACAACGAAAGAAAGGCAACAACAACAAAGCAGGCACAAGGACAACAGGAAACACAGACGCCGAAAAGAACAGAAAAAAAGAAGATGAGGCGGCCACCAATGAAACAAATCACACAGGAGGAAGACAAAGGAGAAGCGGCTGAAGAGAGATAAAAGAGAAGAGCATGAAGGGCTTACGACGGCCTGGCCAGCTGAAGAGGAACCCCACGATATCTTCCCTGAATAAAGTCTGCGGGTACAGACAAACGGAATATGCAGCGCAATGCTTGTGCTAATAATTAATATTGCCTTGTGTGCAGCTGTAGGCAACCGACAAGAATGGAAAACCAACCGAGATGCACAATGTACTGGTGGCCTAGTGCATGACTAGTAGAAGGACCAGCAGGAACGGAAAAAAAAACGTGCTGCAGCAGCAGCACTTCAGCTCTAGCAGCAGCAGCAACAGCAGCAGTAGTTGCTGCTGGTGAGTGCAGCAGCACAGCCCAATCTTACTTGTGCCCGGATGCCTCGTGTACGAGGGCGATAGCGCTGCCGAAGGTGACAGGCTGCTGAGCTGCTTCTGCTCTCTGTGCTACGGCCGAGAAGAAAAAAAACAAAAACAAACTACAGGCAGTCGCCCCCATTGGCAGACGCTTCATTATACCCCAACTGCAAGTAGAAGAGAGACAGCGGGGCACAGAAAGCAAAGGAGACAGACAGACACCAAAAACTGAGCACAGACAAACAGAGAGAAGAAAACTAAGTGAGGAGGGCGGCGAGTTGAACCGAACGGAAACTGACGAGACAGAGGAGCCTAAAGATGATCAGCCGAAAACAAGGGGAAAGCCTCGGCTAAAGAGGCTCATGAGGTACAATACGCAAGTAAGAAAAACACAAATGAAAACAAATTAAAACGAGAAGCAGAAGAAGAAAACCAGCCTTTTCTCTACAGGCAGACGACGTGAACCAATTCAACTCAGGCAAATGAGCGTCGACCACGAGATCCTCAAGCAAGGGAAGGAAAACATGCTTATATATATTATTTTCGAGGTTTACTCAATTAACGCAACCCAGGAACCATCTAACGAAGAGTATTATCTCCTCCTCCGTCCTAGACGTTCTCAGCAACCCACGGCCTTCGCATGCGTCCTCAGGTGGTGGCGGCTGTGCCTTGAATTGACGAAAGCGACGAACATACCGACTTCATTAAATTAAAATCAAAGCAAACACCTCAATAAAAATTGACAAAAGCAGCTCGTCTGTCACAAGATGTCAGAGAGAAGCATAATTGGGGGTCAGACAAGCGGCGGCGCTTTCTCTCGATGGCCTCGGGACGAGCTTACGTCGTATTTACAGTGAAAAAAGCAACAAAGACGTATTAATTAAGTTATTAATTTAATTATCTGTCAGTTGAAGAAACAAATTAACGTATTTGGTAATTGGGGGAACAATTTGTTATTGTAAGTACAAATGAATCATTAATAATTTAATCTACTAATTAAAGCCACTTTATACACGCTGACATAAATTTGTGGCCACAGAAGGCAATAAAGAGAAGCAGACCTTTGGATTTTGACCCCTCTGATTCCCGCGTGATGAACAGACCTCCTGCGCTTGTGTCGGGCTTTTCAACGACAGTATGAATGCATATATCCACGGTGTATTTAACACCCTATATCCACATATGCAGTTGCCGCAGGCATTGAAGAAGAGTAGCAGCCTTTAGTGAGCCTTCGGGCAACACTATCTAAACTTATGGCTCGGAGGAATTATACTGCAAGGAAGTATACTGCAATTATATATATATATATATATATCTATATAATGTATATTTATATTTAGAGCAGTGTCGCCTTCGATACCAGCCAACCGCTCTACAGCCCTACAGTGCAAAACCCACAAGGGCATAAACAGCGCTATGCCCCTACTAAATACTAGAGGCACCATCGAATCGTGTACGTACCTAACTTCAACTACAGACACGAATTGCATTCCCCCACAAATGCATGTGTAATTGTATATAGTGCATAGGTGAGTAGGTGGGAGTCTACAGACTCCTCAGGGTTTGATTGGTGCCTGAGGCTAGCAAATAAGCTACTTTAGACGATACTTCTACGTTCACATACATAAGCGAGTCCTAAATCTCTAGGTTGCTTCATTTGGGCAATGTGCAGGGTAAGCTACTTCTGACCGTTTGTTCTTCAAGCTGCCTTTGTGTTTAATATTTTGCTGTTTCATCAAAAGATGGAAAGGGAAGAGAGGAAAAAATCCCTCTCACTGCGTTTTCTGTGTCGGGCGTCCTCTGCCATTTGCCAAAAGACCCAAAACAAACCCACGAAGAAACAGAGGCGACAAAGGGAAGCAATACTACTTAAACTTCACCCGCTCTCTTTCGTCTCTCTAGCGGCCTGCGTTAAGGCACCTCTCACAGAAGAAGCCGTCCCCTTTACGGCTTCATGCATGCACGCATGAGCGGAATGTGCCAGGTAGCGGCCAGGTAGCCTAGCCACAAGCCATCAGCTGGATGCCAGCCAGCGAGCAGCAAGTTACCGGCTAGCTACCAGTTGGCACTTTAAACATCGGCACTGCGCTGTCCGCCCCTCCCCAGCACAACGATAGCGAGAAGGAATGTGAAAAAGATACGCGGCAACCGACAGCAGAAATGAACAACAAAGGACAGGAGACCGAGAAGGGATAGAGAAGCAGAAGAAGCGTAAGTTGCGAGGAGGAGGGTTTGGTTCAGGATAGAAATGAGATAAGCCAAAGCATGGCCTAAAGGATTTAACACGTATTTCCACAACATAACCAAGTTTGGTGGTCAGTATAGCAGTGGTGGCGGTCTGTTCCAGTCTTTATCTCTCTACCACAGATATTACTATGGGCATGCAGCCAAGCACGCAAGTGACAGAGAGCCATGCAAACAGCGGCTGTTCCTTGGTTTATATACAATTCCACGCTTATTCAACAGGTCGGCCGATGGGGGGGAGTGAGACGCACTGGTGCAGCGATGCTCTGCAGCCGTGCATGCATGCATTGTGTAAATTGCGACGGCGTTTCACCATAACGACAATTATTAATATCTACGGCATAATAACAGCACGATGCCTTAACAAGACTGATGCTTTCACTCCAATGCTTCATCATCATCCCCATCCTCTTGCGTTTTCACCTCCTGAACGACCAACTTGGTTCCGTACTTGGTTCCAGGCCGGCAGTTGCCCGCTTCGTCCAACTCACAGATCTGTTGAGAAAAAACAACTAGGAGCTGGAAAAGTAAAAACTAAAACAAAGAAATTACCTTTATTTAAAAGCGCGAAAAACGGCAACAAAGGCGAGTAGAACAACAACGACGGACTCAAGGACTCAACAAACAACCACAATGACCAATGAAGTACATGACGACTACTTAAATAGACGACACCAACGACGACAACTGGAACAACAAAATGAACAAACATAACAATAAGCGCATAATGCCTGTCTACTGCAAGCAACTTACGATGAGGTTTAGTTGGTTGGGGTTTGTGTTAGAGCGAGCCAAAACCGCTCGGTCGCCAGACTTCACCTTCCCAGATATCAACAAGGGCGCAACGCGAGGCTTTATGTACTTCTCCAAATACCTACAACCAACATGACAGTACGGAAACAAACAAACAATGCACAACAACAACAGCAGCAGCAGTAAGGGCAGTACCACCCGTAGCAGCAGCAGCAGCAGCAGTAACAGCGGCCTCATCGCCACCACCAACAGCAGCAGCAACAGCAGGACCATCACTATCAACAACAGCGACGGCAGGAACAGCAGCAACTCCAGCAGCAGAACGCGCTCACACGAGTGAGCCAGGCGCTTACTTTCCCATTCTGCGCCCTCCGTATTTATACGAAGAGGCTCTTTCAAGGATGAACGTCATGGCGGAATCGGTCACCTTAAAGTCAACACCTTTGGCTGCCAAGCTTCTCGTTAAGCCAGCCAACTTCAGGCTCAACACACCCTTCAACGCCGCCGTGTTTAGAGGCTCAAATATCTAAACAAAGCACAATACCAATATATATGCATATATATATATATATATATATGTTTGCATGGATTATGCAAACGAAATAATGCATGGACACCACCACTGTTCCAAGCTACCACAGGCATAGGCGCGCAATACGAACATGCAGATACCTCGCCCCTGGCATCTTTTCTGTCGCTCTTCTGTCTCCTTTCTGTCTCTTCTATTTCAGCCATCGCTGTCATACAAGTGCGCTTCCCCCCCCCAACGCCTTTCTGCGTCCTTATGAATGCCTCGGTCCTTCATTGTCCTCTCTCCTATTCAATTAATCTACTTCTAGTTTTTTGTTTACTTCTAGTTTTTTGTTGTTGTCTTTCAACTCACCTCTGCAGCCTACAAATGCATCGCTTGTTTGCGCTAGCGTCTCTGTGTGAGTCCGTTGGCCTCCTCAGTTCCATCCGTTTTTGTGTATTGTAGCAATCCCTACAGCAGCGTCTATATGCCTATCTATCTATCTATACGCCTATTGATCAATACGGGCATATCTTTCTACGTGTGTATCTTCTATCTGTCTGTGTACCGGTCGATCTATCACTCTGTCTGTATGTGTATCTGTCTATCCATCTATCTGTCAATCTATGTCTACCTGCCTGCCTAGGAATCTGTCTGCGTTGATAATTGTCTTGTTGTTTTTGTCTTACAATAATTTCACTCATTCTTCCGATGACCTGCGGCTTGAAGTAGCCGAGGACCTCCTTCATCACGCTCTGTCGCATCCTTTTTAAAATGTCTCTAGGCGATTTGCCGCTGCCTTTAAAACCGCCGGTGGCTGCAGCAGCCGGCTCCTTGCCGCCGTTGCCGTCTTCTGCTGCCCCCCCTGCTGCTGTTTCAGTTGTTCCTGCCTTCTCGTTAGACGCAGACAAAGCACGAGCTTCTTTATAACCCTCAAGGATATGTTGCTGGCCAATGTTTGATGTCAAAATAATCAAACAATTCGTAAAGTCAACCCGGTTCCCCTTCGAATCCGACAGATGGCCCTCGTCCAACATCTACAAGCAAACCACAAAATAACACACAGCCCCCACTACCCCCTAAATCCCAAACCCTAAACCGAAACGCGAACGTCTAGACCCTAAATCTTAAACCCTGAGAAGGGTTAGGAATGAAACAAAAGAAACACGTCACATTCAATATGCGCCCCAAGCGGTGTGCGAGCAACAACGAGCCTTGGCAAGATGTTCAGTACTTAGCAACTCCTAACTACGCATTCTCCCTCTGAGACGGTTTCTCTGGATCTGTTCTTTCTGCTCTGTCTGTGAAGTTTGCATCTTTCTATTTCGGTGTTTCTCCCTCGTTCACCAGAGCATCCTGTCTATTTATCTGCTTGTCTTCCCTATCTCCGTTCTTATTATTATATTCTCACCGCAGTTCTTGTGATTCTTTTTCCTACTCCTATTCGAAGTCTTACTATTTGTATAGTGGTATTTATCAATTATTATTTTCTTCTACAGTTGCTACTAATAAGACGAGTTTGTGTCTTGCGCTTCCCTTGCCAGCTGCTACCTCGTTTCCTCACTGGAAGGAGAGACAAGGTTTTTGTGTGCATCTTGTATTATTTGGTTTCTCTATAAAAATACTTCCTTACAGGTAGGAGGACAGACCAAAGGTTCTTGTGTGCATTTTCTACTTCATCAAAGAGAACGACGCTGTGGGGTTTCTGGCGAACGGCTTCCGTCAGCTGGCCACCCTCGTCGTTGCCCATGTACCCGGGGGGAGGGCCGATGAGGCGAGAAATGCTGTGCGCCTCTTGGTACTCCACCATGTCCAGCCTAATCAAATTCTTCTCCGAGTCAAACATCTCCTCAGCTACGGCCTTAGCCAACTCCGTTTTACCCACACCTAAAATGGCAATCATAACGAACCACGCCAACAGAAAGCCGCCACAGTGCACAAACAAACAGGACCAAACCACAGCATACGCACGTTCACGTACATATATATATACATATATATAGCAAAAAACGAAGACAATTTTAAAAAAATTTCCATGGATTTGAAGGCTACAGATGTCTTCAAATTTCTCTCTGTGTTTGCCACCCTCTCCCAAGGAGTCCCTTCACTGCGACGAAGTGAGTCTCTGCCTTCTGCACTCGGTTGGGCTCTCCGCCTCTGTCTCTCTGTCTGTTTGTGTTTCTTTGTCTTTCTGCGTGTTTCTGTCTGTCTTTCTGCGTGTTTCTGCCTCTGCGTCTCTTATTGCCTCTCTGTATGTTCTTCTCCCTCTGTTTCTGCCTCGTCTTTTTATCTCCGTCTGTTTCTGTCCATTCCTTCTTCTATCTCTGCCTCTGTTTCTGTCTTTTCGTCTCCCCGTATTTTGCTCGTATGCGCCTGCCCTCGTTTCTTTTTCCTTTCTCCCTATCTCCCTCTCCGTCCCATTCCTGTTTTAACATAACATATTGCCATTTCGGTTATTTGTTCATTTGTTTTTTATTGTCTTACCTGAAGACCCTAAAAACATGAACGTGCCGAGGGGTTTATTCTTTGGACTGAGACCCGCCCGCTGGATCGCCAGCGCATCCGCCACTGCTTTCACTGCCTGCTGCTGCCCAATAACTCGCTGTACAAGAACAAATACAAACACAAGAAAATAAAAAATAGATTCGCTGTAGACATAGCAGTAATGATGTGATCAATTTATATTGGAAAGCTGGCCAGCGACTTTCCACATATAATAACAGGACCAAATATAAGTAATACAGAAAAGGAGTAACGTAAAATCAAAAACAATATATAGATTACGTATTATACATGCTGGTAAAGACGAACAAAAGGATAATAATATTGATATTTGTGCGTTTCTCAACATTTGTAGAAGTGTACCGCCAACATAATCCGTATCAACAAATGGAGAAAAATCGAATTAAATACAAACTCCATAATAAAGAAAAAAGCAACGCAGGAACACAAGACAACAAAATGCACCGAAACACAACGCATGCATGGACTGTATGCATGCGTTGTGTTTCGGTGCGTTTTGTGTAGAGGTGAAGTGCAGAGTCTATTGCCACGAAGAAAACGACCTATTGACTAATACACCTTTGCCGATGTACGCCTTCTAAAACAAGCGTTATTGCTGAGCTGCAGCCTGTTCATACGGGATGTCTGTACCAGTGTTATACGACAGCAATAATGGTTTGCTGCATTAAGCAACTGCTAATTCACTGCAGCCCGACGCAGAAAGGGTGTCAGTGATGGGCGTACCGAAGAAAGAATATCTGCGAGCCGAAGTACCCTCGAGATCTCGTCTTCTGTCATTTTGCCGAGAGGAATACCCGTCCACAAATGCAATATGTGCGCCACGTCATGCAAACTCAACGCCAAGCGACGCCCATTCTGAGAGCAGCAGCAACAATAGCAAACCAAAAACAGCAGCAGCATAGGCATTAGCAGAAGTGGCAGTTACTGTGAGTTCGTGCCTCTGTTGGACCCGGCAGCATTTCATACAAGCAGTAAAACGGAGAGCCCGACGGTGAGCGAGGAAAATCCGAACACGAATGCAAACAAAGCAAAAGAGGAGGAGACGTGGAGGCGGAGAGACACACAGATGGATACAGAGACAGAGAGACAACAAACAGAGACAGGCAAAAAAGCGGAAGAAGAAAAAAACCATGGGAGACAGGACGTGCGCAAAGAAGAATAAGGAGGATAACAACAACAAGCCCCTCGGAAAACCGAGAGAAGAAATAATTTAAACCCGCTCTTAACCGAACGAAGGACTGCTGCATGCAATACAAGCAAATGCCTAAAACAAATGACAAAACCACAAGGGAAAAGCAAACAAGCAACAAAGGAACCTACAGCTGTCAGCTCCTCGAGAGCAGCCAACTCGTCTTTCCACTTCTGCAGCTCTTCAGCTGCCTGAACATCGCAGATAACAACAAGAAAAGACGACAATAGGGCCATGAAGAAACTACAAGAAGACAATCGAACCGAGCGAGGACGCCATATGAATTGCACAGACAAAACTAAAAAGGAAACAATTGAAAGAACAGAACCTAAGTTCGGAAACAAGCAAATGGAGACGCGAGAAGCCAGAGGTGTAGAGAGAGATGTTCAAGCGATTCATCAAGAATCGAAGGAACAAGGCAACAGAGAAACAGACAGAAACGCAACCCAAAAATGAAGAGAAAATGAACGCGGAGAAACGCACACACAGGAGAAACAGATGAAGCCTCGGCAGTGCCATCAGCCCCAGCAACAGCATCTACAGCAGCAGCAGCGGCCGCAGCAACAGTAGCAGCAGCATCTCTAGCAGGGTTTGAATACCTATTTTGCGCGCTCGTGCTGGTGTTAATTAATACAATTAGCAAACAATGTTATTATATACTAATAAACTGATCAGAGAACGTCTTCCTGTGATACCGTTTCGTCTTTCTTTTTTCCTGCCTCTTCAATTTTTCTCTTCAGGACTACAATTTGCTTGTTGTGCGAGACCTTTTTCCAAGAGCACGCCTCGTCCAACAAGTCGAGGGCCTTATCCGGAAAGGACCTTTGCTTTACGTACTGATCTGACAGAGCCACAATTCCCTCCAACACCTCATCTGACAAATCAACGCTGTGAAATTTCTCGTAGTTGGTTTTCACCTTCTTCAGGATTGCTGCGAACAACACGCAGCACAACAGCGTCTTTCAAATGAACAAACCAACCATGCAATCAATCTATAAATCAGCAAATTAATAGAGAGTATACCGATAAATAAATATAACATATATATGGACTGCGTACACTTGGTGTTTAGGAAGACAGAGCAGAAAAAGAAACACTGCCATTACACGTACAAACGCGGTGACGCAAACAAATACAAAAACGATTATACAAGCAAATACAAACAGATGAACACAGCAAGAGGCCACTACAGACGCATACAACAAACGTGATGCAAACAAATACAACGAAGCAAGACACAAACAAGCAAGCACAACGCATATAAACAAACAGTCCAACATTTACCGGCACGCAACCCAAGCTATATGGGAAAACAAAGAAATGCTAACAGACAAATAGACAATAATTGCACAAAAGCAAAGCAACATACGAAGAAATGCAACAAATGCCGGCCTACATACAGACTCTACTATTATAGTTAGCTACACACTAAAACCGGGAACTCAACACAAAGTAAATCCCCACACAGGCAACAGCCGAAGCAAAAACACCAACAAGAGCAGGCGCAACGGGAGCAGCAACGAGAGGAACAGCAGCAGCTGCAGCAGCATTTGTTGTCATGTATGGTGTTGGTGCTGACAAAGAGCCCTTTCTTTGCTCGGCGCTTCAACGACGATATTTTGGAATCGGCGGCAGAAGGCGGCGTCCTTTTCAATGTGTAACTTGTATTCTTCTAAAGTTGTCGCACCTACCAAGCTAAACCAAAACAACAAAACAACAAAACGGCACAACACAGCACAATGCTAATGGCAATGAAATGATGCTGGTGTAAAGCAAACGAACAAACAACGCGAGCAACACAACAAAAAGAAACGATACCAATAACACTGACAGCAACAGCAGCAACCACAACGTGCTCTCTGAGCACAGAGAGCAGCAGCAACTGCAGCAACTTGGTGAGAACTCACCACAACACACAACTCCAACAAACAAGCAGCCGGAGAACAACAATAAAAAATAGGAAAAACCCAACCGTAACCAACAACCGAACAACGCAGCCATAAAACAACAAAACATACAAATGCAAACAAACAACACCCAAGAAAGTAAGGGGAACACAAATAAAACCCTCAAAACGGAGACATAAAAATAAACCAAAGCTCAGGAGAAAAACGACGGGCAGACAAGCAAAGTACAGCGACGAGCGACAAGCAACACTGCAAGAGCCAAAGAACAATAAGCAGCAACAACTAGAAGAGGCAGAACAAGAAGAGCAAGAACAAGGAAAAGAACAAGAAAAATAAGCACAAAGACGATGAAGCACAGGAAGACGAACGATAACAATAACGAGCATTACAGCAAGAACAGCAAGAACAATCAGAACAACCATGCCAATGAGGACAACAAGAAGACCACAAACAAGGACAGAAAAAAGACGTTGACTCTTACACGATCTCTCCTCTTGCGAGCGGCACTTTGAGTATTTGCGTTGCATCGGAAGAGCCAGAGGTTTTGCCAGCGCCGACAAGCGTATGAATTTCGTCTACGAAGAGAATAACGTCTTTTTTTCTTCTTTGCAGAAAAGTAATGATCTCCTTCATTCGCTTTTCAAACTCTCCCCGCATAGACGTGCCAGCAGACAAATTCAACAAATCAAGCGATATTATCCGCCGCCCTCGCAAACCCTTAGGCACTGCACCCTAAGCAAAAGCAAACAAAAAACAAACAAGCAAGTAAATGAATCAATGCATGACTACGCAAACGAACGAACATACGCAGACGACAGACCCCACACAACCAACCAACAAATGCCACCATGGCAGATAAGCAAACAGATAGGCAGCTAGCCAAACCGAAAATTGAACACAGAGCCAGCTAGCTCCACAGCTAGCCAGTTAACTAGCTCCACACACACATGCACCCGCAAACATAGACCCGCGCGCAATTGCCCTAGGAGATGACTTTATGAACAGATAAATGGGAAACAGATACGCACAGATCCAACAACAATTGCTCAGACCCTAGTCAGCTAGCGCACCTCATGCCAGCCAGATAGCTCCATAACTAGATGACCAGCTCAACAACAAACATGCTCGACAGCAGGCTAGTTTGATAGCTATATAACTAGATAACTTGCTATTCAGCTGGCTACCCAGCTGGCTCGATAGCTAGCAAGCTAACGCGCTACATGGCCAGACTGAGTGCGCAGCTTTCAGGCTAGCAACTGGCATGACCCAACCAGTGCGGTGGAGGTTGATGCCCGCACAAATCCTAAACCCTAAAATTTGAACCCTAAACCGTAGGGCCTAACCTCGACAATGCGTTGAGCAAGTCCTTCGATGACAGCGGTTTTGCCAACCCCCGGCTCGCCAATCAGGAGGGGCGCCTTCGTCATCATGCGGCTCAATATCTAGGTTGAACAACAAAGTACGCAACAATACATAAATAAAACAACAAAACCGTGTGATAATTTCTAAGTACAACAACAGCCACAGAATAATTTCTAATGCACGCATCAGAAATAACACAGCAATACGACAAAATCTGAGTTAAACAGCAAAAAGCGCCCCTCGTCATTGGCGAGCAAGCATAAGCTACAAAACACGTCTAAACTGAACGAAAAAGCACACATCTAAGCGAAAACGCAAACAAACACAAAGAAACCACACCTACACTAATCAAGAAAAAACGCCAATAGAAACGATAACCTGTATTACAAGCGGAAATACAAACCAAACGAAACAGGCAAACAGGAGGGCAGGAAAAGATGGTGTGGGGAGGGGTGTGCATAAAGGCGACAAAGACAAAAAAGACAGAAATATCGTCGGCAGTAAAGAAACTGAAGCAGAGTAAGTGAGAACAGCAGAAGGAGGCGATAAGAAGAGCGAAAGAGACAATCTGCAAAAGGGAATATGATGCCCCTCTACCTCCGCCTTTGTCTCTGTTTGCATCTGTTGAAAGAAGAAGCCAAGTACAAATGAAGCAAAAAGACGCGCGCAGACCAGCGCCACGAATAAGTAGTAGTAGAAGAAGAGGAAAAGGGGCAAGAGAAAAGTTGAACGAGGACGTCTCCGGTGTGGGTGTTGCGTACCTGTGCGATCCTGTCTATTTCTTCGTCTCTGCCTATCACCGGCTGCAGCTTTCCCTTCGCTGCTTTTTCTGTCAAGTCCTCGCCGTACTGCGTTATATCAAAGTCCTTCGTCAGCTGCTCCGTTGTGCCTGAGGTGTTTGGCATCGGCGTGTTCTTGTACGCCAGGGATAGCTCCCTATACACACCATTTACATACATCATGCGCACATACACACACACATATATCGCATACTGAGAATGAAGGAGAAAGAGACAGAAAGAGAGAAGCAGCGATGCAAGCACAGCGAAAGAGACTGATGAAGAGACTTCCGCAAAGACAGACGGTCGAAAAAAACGGGAGTGAGAGATACAGGGAGAGAGAGACAGAGACAGGCAGACAGAATGAAAAAGAAAGAGGCAGGCACACTGAGGGAGAGACAGAGAGAGGGAAGAAACACAATGGAACAGCAGAATGAGATACGGGAACAGCAGCAGCAAGGTCAGTAGCAGCAATGGCAACATCGCCAGCACCAGCAACAGTAGTAACAGCAGCAGCAGCAATAGCAGCACTACCAGCGGCAGCGGCGGCAACGGCATCAGCATGGTCATCGCTCTTATCCCTCGGATAGAGCAAGCGAGGTAGCTGGGTAGCGTCGTACTCTTTAAAAAGTTCCACATCGCATCCGCTATTGACGAGTATTTTATAGAAGGTAGGACAGTAAAGAAGAGCCAAAAAGACGTGTTGCACGCCAGTTAAAGACCCTTCTGCCTCCGCTATGCGGCGAGCACGAAGAAATACCTCCGTTACTGCCGGCGTCACCTTCGCACCCCCCAACGGCACCGTCACCTGCATTGAGCAGCAAACACCAACTTTGTATTTAATGAAGTATAAAGCGACATAAGCAACTTACTACTTAATAAAGTGTAAAATAACCAACAGCTAAATAAGTGGATTGCCAAACAAATCGAAGAGAGGCACACCCAGGCGAGGAGACAAAGAAAGCGGCAGAAAGAGAAGGGAAGAGATGAAGAAAGAGTCATAGAGCGAAACACCTTAGTATTAAATGAATTACAATGCAAAAAATTCAACAGCTCATCCAATGAACTACTACGAAACAAACTGAACAGCAACAGCAACAAATAATGATAGCAAACATCGACGAGACCAACAAATAATATAACACGATCAAAACAACAACAACCATCCCAATAATATTAACAACAACATAATAATTTGCTTACTGGGGTCCTCGGCAATCTGACAAGAACGGCCTTGACGGCACCGCGGACGTGTGAAAAATCTCCGTGGCATTTTGTTATCACTTCGCGAGGCGCTGAAGTACAACACCATAATAATAATAATAGCAAGAAACTAACAAAGAGACAAAAGAACAAAAACACAAGGCGATAAATAACAAGTACATGTCATAAGAGAGGCTAATGACAATACAGTTCCTGTAATAACGACACAAAACCGACATTACAACTTGACAGCATATTAACGACATACAAGACAAAATAACAAGACAAGACGAAATACTAGTACAAAAGCACTGCATAAAAACAGGGACCGAAAAAGATTTAGACATCAACCCGATAGACAACGGCCACATCACAGAGACGACAATAGTAAGTCCAAATGATGGCAGGGACAAAAAGGCGCAAGTCCTATGTCTCCTGTGCGCTGCTCTCCGCGAGAAACCAATAAAACATAAATACACATGGAGGCAACTAAAGACAAATAAAGACAAAAAAGGCCGACTTTCAAGCCTGGGTCCTTCAAGCGCCGCCCCGATGCGCGAGTGAGAGGAAAAACGAGAAAACAACAAAGCAAACCACCACGACAAAAAAGCCGGAGGAGGAAAAAATGAAGAAACCCAAGAGACAACTAACACATACAGAAAAAATCACGACACACCAAGACAAAGCAAGACAACCATAGACGAAAAACAAGAAGACTTACTGTCAAGCCTGGATCCTTCAAGCAGTACCATCAGAAGATGAGCGAGGCAAAGTCTATCGTGATGCAGATGCCAGGCCAACGTGTCCATCGTCTCAACCATCAACTGCGCGTCGAAATTCAATTCAGAAGGGGCGCGCTAGCGAAAGCACAAAAAGCAACGCAGAAATTGGCAAGTGAATAAATAATAAAAATAGATGAATAGATACACACCCAATGAAATATAATATGTACCCATCGCCTCAACCATCAACTGCGCGCCGAAATTCAATTCAGAAGGGGCTCGCCAGCAAAAACAAAGAAAAATAATAGAACGAGGCAAAAAAGTCAACAACGAGTAGATAAATAAACAGAAGAACGGACAATAAATAAATAATACTTCAATGACACAAAATAAAGCGTCTATAGTCTGCACCATCAACTGCGCGCCGCATTAAAAATCGCCATAAAACAAACACAACACAAAACCGTAAAACAGAGAAAACTAATAAATAAAAAATAAATGCAACGAATCGAAGAAAAAAACTAATAGAATAGACAATATACGACAGCAAATAGCAAATGGAGCAGATGAACACAATAAACGACAATAAACAAAACAACAAGCAACAAGCAATAGACAACAAAAAACAAATAAATTGAGGAGCCGATTATACATCTATATATATATATATATGCGTGAGTGTGTGTGCGTGTGTGTGTGCGTGTGTGTGTGAGTGCT